GGGGTTTCTGCGCATGCCCAGAGGAGCGCCAATCTGGGCTCCTTTCTCTTTTCGAGCGTTGGCTGTCAAAGGGGGGGGGGGTATAAATTCGTTCTTAAGGGGCTAAAGGGGTTAAAGGGGGGTGCCTTAGTCTGATTCTCTTGTTTTCCTTTTTTATCTTCAATTCTGTGAGGAATTCTGATGTGACCCTCAGCCCAAAGTCGTTTGCATTGCAGTTCTACACAAACTTTTTTTTTGTTTTTTGTTTGATTTTTGGCGCTTGGGCTGTTCCCAACCTTGCCCGGGGTTCATGCCAGGCCGAGGACCTGGGTGTGTATCTGGGCACACAAGTTGGGTGCCCGGGCGACTGGAAAAACATCCTAGCAATATGCTCCTGCTAATTAATACCTTCATTTGTTGTCACATGTTCTCAGCTTATGGAGGAGACCGAGAGCGATAGAGAGAGAGACATGGATTTTCTGTCATCGATAGAGGTAAGCTTGTTACAGGAGGATTCCACAACTACTCCTGTGCTTCTGTGCATCAAGCTGTAACCTTTTTCATGTGGATCTGTTTCCAACTTTCCACCTGCTGGCATCGACGGTAGACCTGTTGTCTTTGTCCTTTCCAGATCTCTTCGGTCATCGAAGCTGCATACATACTTCAACCTACCATCAAAGTTTTGCACTGCTGTGCATTATTATATACCGGCTGGATGCCCATCCCCACTACTACCTAGACTCTCAATGAACCCTTCAACAAGAAGTCTAGGCAGCTGTTTTACCTTTCAACCCAACAAAAAGATCAGCTCTGACTGGTTGCGGGTCTTATGTTGTTCTGTTCACAGATTGTTGTCGTGGACGATGCTGACGTAATATACATGCAGGTATGTAGGAATGATCCTGCCTTGAAGTACATTGTTCGTCATTGGGAAATGAGATTTAGGATCATTTAGCGCTTTTGTGGCATCTCTGACAGTTAATTTGTAGCAATGCGGACACATCATCGATTACATCGTCGTTTTTTTAGGTCATTTTACGGTTAGTTTCGAGTGTCATTCATTTGCATTTGAGCATGATTTGATTCATTCGTCATAAATGATTAGCGCATTGGATGTGTTTTTAACTTCTTACTCTGTACTGCTCCTGTGTACCCCTCCTTTCCTGCCTTGTTATTGCTGTCTGCTCCTGTCTTCAGTTGTTAGAAATTGTTTTGCAAATGTCCTCTCGATCCATACATATTAAATATTTGATGCTGTATATGACGAGAAAGGCAAATGCAAAGCACACTGTTGGGTCCGCTCTGTTTTTTTGTTTGACTGTGAACTCAGAAGAACAGAGATCAAGCTCCTTCCCTTCCTTCCCACCTC